CGATGTTCCTTAATACTTTATTCTGGAAACGTTGAATAACTTCGATGTCACTTTTACTGGCACACCCCCAAAGCTGGCGATTCGCTTCATTTTCACCAATTCCTTTAAACGCACTAATCTGAAATAAATTATAGGTAATTAAAAAGGTATATTAATATTGTTTTAAATGAACTATAATAAAACAAACAATACTCATGCATACACAAAACATGAAGCTCTACTTTTCAATTAGCTATAAAACTAATAAATAAAATTGGTGGATGGACAGCAAATGTAGGTTATATTTAAATAGAAATAAGAATATAAAATGCCTATAAATTAAATTTGATAAACGAAATGGCGTACGATTAATGTACTTCTCAAGAAAATGCTTGAAACATATACTGCTGAATTTAGAAGGTTACCAATTATACTTGTTGACAAACTGTATCCACTCGCTACGTTTTATAGGATTTTTTGGAAATCTATAAATATTATTTCGTATGAAAAAGTATTATTCCAATATAGGTAGGCCCAGAAGTTGATAGATGATTTTTTTTGCATTTTTAAAAGCATACTTTTATACATTTTATACAAACCTGTCATAATACTGTCCTGTATAATATTTATAATTTTGATACTAACCTATGAAACGTTATTCCAGTCGATTTTTCACAAAAACGTCTATCGCTAGAGCAGGAACGTATAACACAACAAGGCATTATATACTTTATAAGTTTGTAACATTCAAAATTTGCTCAAACACAAATTAAATTCAAATTTAATTACACAAATGACACTAAAAATATAACCTGTAAAATTTGACAATTTGCACTCACAGTAATGGCGGACCGGTCCCACTTTTCGCTTACGCATGTCGTATCCCTAGGTTGCCAGATCAATGGTCTTATCGCAAAATAGTGTTTATGTCGTCTCTACTTTATTCTATCTCGATGCACATAACAGAATGTCACGACTTTTAACGTCAAACAACAAAAATTAAATTGTAATTATTTATTAATTTTTATGCTTATGTGTGGAGTTTTTCCGGGGTATCCTCATCTATAATTCAAATGACATCTGTAAGTTGCCTCGGAGAGCCATGGAAAATAATAATAGTCATCCCTCACCGGGTACAAACAACTCTGCATTCAGAGTTGCAAGGATCACTCATAATGGGTTAAATTATAAAAATATTATTATTTACTATTATTGGACTAAAGAAAGGATGAGTTACAAAAAAGAAAGGATCCTTTGAACTTCCAGAAAATCGTCGTGGAGAACTTTTTCAGCTGAATAAAGAGAACCTATAAATGTTTATATTTTGTATCGTTTTGTGTAATAACTAATCCTTTTATTGATATTCCAAGGATATAAAAGACCTCTGTTGCACGATAGGTTATCCAGAAAAGGCATTGCCAGAGACATAGGTATGCCCTGGAAACTAAATTCCTTTCTTCCCTAAAATTTTAAGCCACAGGCTTAATATTTAACCTCATTGACAGGTCATACTTAATGTCACTTTTTTATGACGTTTGGAAAATTTCTTTTTGCTTTTTCGACCATTTATTACAAACGAATAATTTTTTTAATATTTTTCCTAAACACCTCTCGCCTCTCTCTACCTCACCACGCACACAAATTTTTCGTCGGGCGCCATTTTTTTTTTTCGTATTAGGAGTTTCCGGGCGACTTTAAAAAATCGTACCGTCCGAACGGATGGATGGATTTCGATGAAACAGACGGAGGCTGTATACCCAAAGGACGCTTCTTAAAAAAAATCGGCGTCAAAATCTATTTAACTGTTTCCTTGGAAACTGCGAAAAACCTCGAAAAATCGCACGAAAATCGTCCGAAAGTCCTATGAGTCCCTGTTCCGGGATTTGGGTGCACTATGGAAGTGAGTATGCATAAACCGTAGACGTTCAAGACATCGTAGTCGGCTCGAATGAGGGTCTTTTTCGTCTCCTGTCAACTGTCACTTTTTTATGACGTTTTGAAAATTTCTTTATCGTTTTTCGACGTTTTAATGGAAACGAATAATTTTTTGAATATTTTTCCTAAACACCCCTCGCCTCTCCCTACCTCACCACGCACTCAAATTTTTCGTCGGGCGTCATTTTTTTTCCGACCAATTTCGTATGAGGGGTTTCCGGGAGAATTTAAAAAATCGTACCGTCCGAACGGATGAATGGATTTCGATGAAACTCAGACGGAGGCTGTATAGCCACGGGATGTTTCCGGAAAAAAATCGGTGTCAAAATCTGTTTGACAGTTTCCTTGGAAACTGCGAAAAACACCGAAAAATCGCACAAAAATCGTCCGAAAGTCCTATGAGTCCCTTTTCCATGATTTGAGTGCACTATGGAAGTGAGTTTGCATAAACGGCAGATACTTAAGAGATCTTAGTCGGCTCATCAGAAGCATTTTTTTGTCTAACGGCAACTGTCACCTTTTTTATGACGTATTGAAAATTTCTTTATCGCTTTATTTATAATTAACAATTGTATACAGGTTACATTACAATTTGAAGCGACCCCGTAGGGGTTGCTTTTTAAAAAATTAACAATTTCATCGAGGTTACATTACAAGAGAAGAAGTAACAGGCGTCTTATAATTTCCCTTCTTCTTCTTTTTTTCTTCTTCTTCTTCTTATACTCACCTTCCGCAAATTCTATCGAAATATTTACTTTTACCCTCTTCCCAAGAGAAGAAGTAACAGGCGTCTTCTTCTTCTTCTTCTTTAATTCTTCTACTGATTCTATCGAAATTGTTACCTCTTTCGACCCCCTACTCCCCTCTACTTCAAAACAAAAAAAAAAAAAACTCAAATCGCCAAAAAATTGATTGACCAAGTCGTTAACGACTTTTACTTCCTCTAAATGATCAAGTTTGGTCATGAGCAGAAAAGGGTATAATCGATATAACATTTAAAGTGTCCTTTTAATTTTGAAGCTTCCTTTAATTTGATTATGAAATTGGCCCTTAGGTTTTTAGGTAATTTTAGCCCTCGGTGTCAAAAATATATTAAGTAATTTACAAATTTTTAACAGTAAGAGTAAAAATCTACTTACTTTTTACTCTAGTTTTTATTAAGTAAGGAAATATTTAGAGCACATGTTAGGTATTAATTCCAAAACTAATTATATTCTGAAATAATAAAAAAAATCCAAGCGAAACAAACAACGGAAATTGGAGCGATAGGCCACAGCTTGACAGGATCTCATAAAGGACCAAGAGGTAAAATGCCCTTGTTAGACCTATTTTACCGAAATTCCAGCCTATACCAGGTACTTCAATCTTTTCGGAAGCTTAGCAAAGCTCAATGTTACAGCATTCCTTCAAGGAAATGTTTAGGGGTGGTTGATTCGATCTGTATACACGAAGGGCTGAAAAATATTACAAGGGTTGAAATAATGGCCATGAGCGGTGGCACGGGGGTTAGGAGTTCATGAAATGAGAAAGGTTGTTAGCCCTTCAGAAAATAGGCCTAAGGATTTTTATTTACCGTTCAGGGTGAATGGCCGTAGGAAAGACGAATTTAGATAGAGGGTTATTTTTAGCCCTTAAAATGTTTTATTCAACTGTTAGTAATATGATGGCGTCCTAATGATCTTAAACATTGAATAGGGATAGTAAATTATGAATTTTATTAATTTTATTTGATTGTTTTATAAAGATTATTGTTCGATTCTATGAATAAACTAGTAGAATAAAAATAAGACATCTTTTTCAAATGTATTGTGATTTTAGTTTTGTGTGCCAACAATTTTTTGCGTATTTTATAATTTTTTATTATAAATATACTAGGTGTGTAAGAAATAATGGAAAATATTTATAACAGAGAGGAAAACACAAAATATGTTCTGTTGTAGGTACAAATATTTCAGTTTGCGTTCTTTTTATATTATGAATAGCTATGGATTCAATTTTCGCACTCTGTATAATCAAATTGACAAAATTATTTTTCATCTATTTATTTTTTCTTCTTGTTTTCCTTCTTTTTCTTCTGTTTTTTTTTTTTTTCCTTTTCCTTTTCCTGTTCTTCTGTTTCTTCTTTTTTTCTTCTTCTTTTTTCTCCTGTTTCTTCTTTTACTTTTTTTGTTTCTTCTTCTTTTGCTTCTCCTTTTTCTTCTTTTTTTTTTTTCATTTTTCTTTTTTCTTCTTTTTCTCCTTTTTCTTCTTCTGATTAAAAAAACAAGGAAGTAATACTATTTAAAAGGACTGAAATATTACGATATATGTAAATGTTTTTTTTTTTTTTTTTTTTCTTTATTGGTCTCAACTTATACAAGTTATTTAACCAGCACTAACATTAGTTACATGAAAATAAATACAATAAAATTTAAAATACTATTTGGCTCTGTAAAATTAAAAAAAAAATAAGGTGAACAATATTTTTTATAAATTAATGTTAGAAGATTTTAAAAATGACATGATTATGCCTGTACTGCAAATTGGTTTTCGTAAATAATCATTTAGACATAAAGGGGAATACTGGGGTCGAAAAGCTAAAACCATTTTTTGGTATAAGAATTTTATATTATCTGTATTATTACTGTAAATGTTTAGAATCAACGAAATAATCTGATCAAGATGACGAAAATATTGTATATTACTTTCTGGTCTAAATCTACGCTAGAAAAAATATAACACATTTAGGTTCTATTTTACTTCTCTATTCTGTTTTTATTTCCATTTCGACTTTTGTTCCAATACTTTGAACTTATAAAAATTTGACACACAATTTTCTGAACATTTCTTCCGAAAATAATAAATCTTAAAATTACCCCGAAGGAGTTAATAACATTTTTTTCTATTGAACATTTGCACAAATCAATGTTTAACATTATTTATCTTTTACAGTTTTTACACGAGCATCCTGTTACACCGGCTTTTCAGAATTGGAAGTCGCAGAACAAAATGGCGAATTAAGAAAAGCTTGTGCCAAACACGGACATCCTGTACAACCGTATCGTAGATTAAATTCCACCATTAGACTTCAGGAACTTAGAAGGACAATGACATCAGAGGTAATACTCGGAACGACCGCTATTCAGGCCTACCTAGTGACATCTAGCGATGAACATCAGGTGAGTTAAATAAAAGAGGTTTAGAGGATGAAGTGTATTTTTATTAACGTGAAAATACAATATTTTATAGTCACACGATAAGGCTTTCCCAATTATAAACAATTTGTTGTACAAGATAATAATAGAGAGTTGAAGTGATGCCACAGCTTATTTATATCCAGCTAAAACACTCTCGGCGGCACTTTTGATCTCGTGGTCTGCGATCAAGCGAGATAGAAGCGTTGCTTTCTCTGTTGCACAAGAGGGAAAAGTCAGAGCCGGATTATAACAATTATTTATTGAAGTAAAATGTTTAATTTCTGCCTGACAGTACCGTAGTAGGTAATTTTAAATTTTATTGTATTATATTTTTTGAATCTATATTGTAATATTACGATAAAATTAGGTTTGGAGTTAATAAGGGTTAAAATACATTAAAATTATTCTGAAAAATAATACATTTTCGTTATTATAGATTAAAAGAACTTGTGTGGGCAGAAAAAGGGCGATTTATAAAATTGTCAGAATAATTACGATAATGGGGTGTTTGTTATCTTACGAAAAAAATAGTGATTTATAATAGTCGTTGATGTTGGTTGTTCAAGATTATGATTTATTTTTAGGTTTTCCTCCTGAACGCTATTTCATTGTTAACGTCCTTTCTCAGCTTTGCGAAATTCGGCTTTTTGCATCCGAATTTTAATATTCGACAAACTTGCAATTTGGCATTTACGGCTTAAAATTTTCAAATTGTGAGTATGTCAAATAATTAAATTCGGATGCAAAAATCTTATTTGGCCTAACTGAAAAAGAACCTTAGACATTATTGCTTTTGACAGTCGCACGGTGATGTTTAGGGAAAAGACAAAAATGGTAATAAAATAAAGTTGTGTATCTTAGGTTTTAAATAGGTTTTATTACTAAATAATTAAAAAAAATCAAATTAAAAATTTACTTATACCGTTATACCTATAACAAATTATAATACATTTTGTACTATATCATTACAAATTTCTCCATATTATAAGTTTATTTCTATTTACATTTCTAAAATTACCATTTATCGTTTTCAATGTGTAATATATTCTAACTCTTAAATATAATCTAACTACAAATTCTTTGGGGAAATATTTACAGGGATGGTTAAAAGCTAAATGGTTACTTATATCTAAAAGCATTTGGCAAATATTCCTTTTAGTAGCAAATTTTTCAAAGTTTTCTTGAAATATTTGTTCTATTTTACAAATTAATTCCACAAATTTATTATTAGGCATTTGCAAATTTCCGAAGGTGTCCTTATTTGCATTTTCATATGCCTTAAGGAAACAGTAATAAGATGAATCATCTAGTTCATCATGGTCTTTACTATATTTATTGCATATATCACAAGTGTGAACTCTTAAAGCTTTATTTAAAAGGTACCCACACACGTACCGTATGAAATTTTTTTGCAGCATTTCATTATTTGAATAGTCCATGCTATTTAGTGCGTCTCTTTGTTCCGATACTTTATCCTTATCCTCAGGTACAAAATCCTGTTGGCAGTCAGAAAGTCTTAAGAGCATCTGATCAGAATCTGCCTCACAGTTTTCTGTACCTGAGTTAAGCAAGTTGACGCATTGCAACTTTCTAAATGTTCTGTGGAACTGTATGGCTGTGGGGTTAATGCAGTTACCGTTTTCACTTCTTATTTAACCGAAATGATTCTCCAGGCAGTCTTGGTTTAATCTTCGTGTAAGTATATACTCAAACCCAGCATTTTCTCGAAGATAGTAAAATAATTGAATAATACTGTTGATTGAAATTATTAAGCTTTTAATAAATTTTATTTTGTTGGCAACGTTTATATTATTTTTGTCTCGAATTTCAAGACTTTTAAAAAAGGACAAGCAATCCATTAAAAACTCTAATTGAAGTGAGTTTGCTTTAAAGGCAGCATTATATTTTTTTGAGGCAAAGGTTTGCGAAGAATTTAAAATATCAAAGAGTTGATCTACTCTATTAACAAATCCAGCAGTTTCTGTCGCTTCCGAGGGGAGGGAACCAAATCCTATATAAAAACTCATACCTACATGGACTGAGTAACTAAATACTTGGGTGGCAAGTTTGACCTTCATTTTTTGGAAACTAGTCGGGTAAATATGAGAATCGGTTAATTTGTGTGCTGCTTTAACAGGAAATTTTTTATCTAATTCATAGAAGTCTTTAATATATTGCCACGAAATTTTTTTACAATTAACATAAAAGTCATATTTCATTATCATATTTCTCATCGCTTTAATAATATGTGGCACATCAAAGATGAAAAAGAGATACCGGTTTTCTAAATAAAAACCAGTATTGTCTGGAGATATCTTTAAAATATTTGACAATTTGATATTGTTGGACCCCATATCACAAGTAACTGCACAAACATTTAACCCCACATTTGTTGTTTTTTGCACAGCTTCATTTAATAGTTTATGTAATAGATTAGCAGAACAAGAAGTATGACATAAAAAGTAGGCTATCGGCTGCTTCCATTTCGAATAAATTCCCCTTACCATAAGTACACTGACAGTTAAAGTTGGTTTAAAAATCTTTTCCCCTGTATCGCCCATTGCTAGCCCTATGATGTCATCTTGATTTCGTTCATAAAATAAATTTGCTTTTATTGACATTTCATCGAAGCACAATAAACAATATTTGCTTTGAGACTGGAAACTGTCAACTTTTTTTTTTAATCAAATGAAGAACTCGGGATTATCTAATCCTGGTCCTATCTTAACTGCTCTGATTTCTTTTAGCAAAGTGTTAGGCGAGGGAAGGCTATATTTAGACATTAAATATTTTTTATAAACTCTGGGACCAGCAAAATATATTGATAGGCATTCAATTTTAAATTCTTTGCTGTAACGTCTTCCCTTTGGATGTTTATGCCCCTGTAATACTTGCATATTAACACATTTTGCAAAATTTATATGTTAGGGACATATATTGCTCCAAAGATATATTGTCCAATTCATTATTTTTTTCAAGTACCTCAACCCTTTGTTGTAAATATTTGTTTTCGGCAGTTATGGACTTGATATGCTGTCTGTATTTAACTTTTCTTGGTGTATCGAAGGATAAACTGGCTGACGTTTGGGTAAATGTTGGAGACGTCAGAGGAGGACTGTCTGTAATTGGACTCAGGGCGATCTCATGTTGAACCTCGATTTTGAGCTCGGTTTCAACTAGATTTGTCTGGTTAGCTGCAAAAATGCATTTTATTTAAACTTTAAATAACAACTTAGATGAATAAGTATAAAGAACGATTTATTTGCTTTAAAATGATTTTTTTTTATTTAGGGCGTATCAAAAGCTATAACAAAATTTTACAGCTAAAGATAATCATGTGATTATTAGCTTGTTTTAAAAAGTTAAAAAATAAAAAAGTTGTAGTCTTTTAAAAGTGGAACAAATTAGGTTCACCCTTCGCTTCACGATGTATATAAAACATTATATTTAATTTTAAGTAAAACACTATTATTTTTAGTACCTGAATCAAATAGTGCAGGTGTGATAGGTGGAGCTATCAGTCTGTCATCTAGAACAGGAAGTTGCAAGAGCGGTGCACTATACGTATGGTCTTCAGTTGTGGAACTCCCCTCGAGGGACGGGAATAGGGTAGGAATTGCAATGGCTACTAATCTTGTACGAAAGTGACTCGTGAACATCTTCTCTTCAAAGTGGTCTTCACATATCGAGTAACTTTTATATAATTCGATTAGTTTTTCAAATAGGTCCTCTCGATTGGCTTTCATTGCCCATGTTCTGGCTCTGTAAATATTTAAATATATATCCAAAATAAACTAAGAGAAATATATTAATAAATTCCATTAAAATATCATTACCGGGATTATCTCACAGAAAACTAAGAACAGGTAAAGAGATTTAATTAGGCTACTTATTAATATCTAATTGATCACTTAAGAGGATATTTAAATTTTTAAATCAATTTATTTCAAGTGTTTCTAAATGGTTTAATTTAATGCCTTTATTATCAAAATGTGAAACAATTTTTGCATAAACGATTGATTTTCAGAAAAAAATATGTTTTGTAGAATTATTTTTGTTTTTAGTATAACTATTGTAATGTTTTAAATAGCTTTTTTTTAAACTACGGCCCGTTTGACCAATATACAATTTTTCCACAATTTAATTTATTTGAAAAAGGATAATTTCCTGACCGTAACAGAATTTTATATAAATACCGAACGGAAAGCGGTAGAACAGCCTTAACCTAAAGTCGGTTTACCTAAAAATAATGATTTTTTTAATTGACTATAGAATTATGTACTACTCGTAATAATAACACTAAGCAATATGTATGAACAAGTATCATTTACTATTTTCCATTTATTTTATGTCTTAAAATATACGGACCTCTGGTTTACAACTTTCTAGGTAAGCTACCAATTCTATTCATCCGTAGGCGTGTTAGTAGCATTATAAATGCGCATCCTTGGTTCTTTAGATCTGGCGCATACTGTATCTATTTGCTTCCAATTAATATTTGTTGATATTTTATTATTTCGATTTGCAAAAATATTAAACAAAACCACCAATAAACCCCCTTTTACCTTAACAAGTATTAAATTAATAACTATATATTTATACAGGCCAAACATAGCTTCTCATAATTAAAGAAGATTTTGTATGACTTTAAATTACTTTTACTACAACATAGCAAATAATCGAAAGTTTACTTTTCATCAAAATATGCAAAAAATATCGTGTAGGTAAGTACTTACCGGTTAGCATCCTTAGGAAAACAATAGAATTTCTTCTTACAATTATAACCTTTATTAAAACAATTTCGCACTGCACAAACATGATGATGTCCTGATAGTTTTTTGTCACTCATTTTACTACAGTAAAAAATAAACATAAAACACAAATGTTCAAAAGAATTACAAATTAAACACAAAAATATACGCACGGCTATGTCCGCTTAACGTAAAATAAGTAATACCGATCTCCCGACTGCACGGCAAAGA